AAAAAAAAAAAAAAAAAAAAAAAAAAAAAAAAAAAAAAAAATTAAAAAAAAAAAAAACAAAACACACACACACACACACACACACACACACACACACACACACACACCATCGCGGGAATAGTCAGGGAAGCTTTCTAGGACCTTAAAACGTCGAGATCTGATGAAAACTCGATTTACGAAAAACGGGGTAAAAACATTAACTTCCCAATTTTCCAAAATTTTTAATTTTCTAAGCGGGAAGTTAAAAATTGAATTGAATATAATTCATAACGCGAATAATTGGTTATGTTTTTTCGAATTTTCCAAATTTTTTTCTTTAATTTTACAACTATTATATTTCACGACCGAGTCAATTGATTTCGATACACTTTGCAGTGTTCGAGGCCAAAGCATGTATTTTTATTACGTTTTCCTTTTTCAGACTTTGAACATGAAGTCAAATGTCTTAGAAAATGGTTACGTGAAATGGAATCTCGATTACAACCTTTGAGTTTCCAAGTCAATTGGACATTTTTGGAATTGGAGGAAAAGGCAACTGAGCATATGGTAAATATAATAATTTATATTATTTATTAAAATAAAAGTAAATCTACACTATCACTGTGTATGGTATTTTTTCTACAATCGATTGGTAGTGATTATAATTTTTTGTCACGATCTCCATTTATTCATACTCATTGATAATGATCGAAGTCAAAAGTAAATTTTGGTTTTTAACTTGCAAATTACCACTGTTTTTGACTTAAATAATATTTTGTTACTTGTTGAGGAGTTTTGAATCACTGAAATATTCAATTTACTTTTAATAACAATATAAGAACACCGTAATAAAGGAACATGAGATCGAGATGCACCAATTACCGAAATCCCATAAAATTGATCCTGCATTCGATTTTTAATTAAATTTTATTTTATTTTATACACTAATTCACAACTCACGAATGATTTTATTATATTAATAAAAGTCAAGAAAAAAACTACTTGATATTGACAATTTGAATATAGCGCTCTACTTTAAATGCTACATTTTTTGGTTATTTTAAATTTCTACTATAATTTAATTATTAAATCTTTTATCTTACAAAAAAGTTTATTATTTACTGACGATTTCCGTGTTTGTTCAATAAAATGTTGACTAGTATTTTTTATGAATCAAAAAAAAAATCTAAAGAATCGAAAAGCTTCAATTTATTCAATCGATATTGTAGTGACCAAAATAACCAAAATAAGCTGTTTAATAATTCGAGTGACCGACACGTACACGGGAAAAAATTTCTGGGAAAATTTACGATACAACTATTGTAAAGCTGGACTATACTTTTATTACTATTAATTATCAAATATTTTAGAAGAAAAAATACTATTTATTCATAAAAAAATACGATATTACTATTGTAAAAAGTAAGAGATGAAAATTTCCAGTGCTGCCTCTGTATCTTTCCAATAGAACTATAATAAATTTTACAATAGTTGAATTAGAATGTTTGTCAATTAGTGAGAGCGATGGCCGTGCACAGCGCTAGACTCCGAGTTTATGTAAATGTGAAAGGACATGGGTACTAGTTTACCTCGGATAACGTAGAGGAAGAGTCTCTGGCTGCCAATAAAGAGTTCTGGGTTCGATTCCCGGATAAGACGGAAATTCCGGTTTCTTTTTTCGGTTACTGTATAGGTATCAATTAGCCCAACCTCCTATCTCTCTCCCTCCCTAAAATTTCTTTTAAAAAAACCGACTGTCAATTTTTACAATAGTTGAATTGTAAAATTCACAAACACATATTGTATAATTTGCTCTATAGTATACGACTTTTTAAAACTCTTGCTAGTCTTATTTGTTGGATAAAATTTACAATAGTAGATCGTAAAAATTACTAAATGAGAAGTATAGTCCACCGTTACTATTTTATTTAGTAAAAATTACAATAGTAAAATAGTAAAAACTCCTTTTCAATACCTCCATTTAATCCCACCAGAGCGGCGTAAGTATCGGTCTTTCTCGCATATACTTATACTACAAGTCATTTGAATATATACAAAATTCATCATCACATCAAATAAGTGCATATCACATCAACACCAAAGCTGATACACGGTAAAGGTATCAGCTCTGCTGTTGGGGTGGTAGCATTTTGACCTCAAACAATCGACCAACAAATCGATGACAATCCCCCAACAGTCGGTAAATATCAATCACCCAATCGATGATAATCACCCCCAACAGTCGGTTAATATCGATCACCAAATCGATGATAATCACCCCAACAGTCGGTAAATATCGATCAACAAATCGATGATAATCCCCCAACAGTCAGTAAAAAAAAAATCGACCAACAAATCGATGATAATCCCCAACAACAGTCGGTAAGTAGAGCACAAAAACCAACCATCGATAATGCAGAAACTCCACCAACGACCGTCGATAAGACAGAAACCCAAGGTCGATACTGCAGAAATCTACTTTATCGGGGGGTCAAACCGGCCTTGCTTATCTACTATTTTAGAAGAAAAAATACTATTTATTCATGAAAAAATACGATATAACTATTGTAAAAAGTATTGAAAATTTCCAGTGCTGCCTCTGTATCTTTCCAATAGAACTATAGCAAATTTTACAATAGTTGAATTGGAATGTCTCTCAATTAGTGTAAGTGATGGCCGTGCACAGCGCTAGACTCTGAGTTTATGTCAATGTTAAAGGACATGGGTCTTAGTTTACCTCGGATAGCCTAGAGGGAGAGTCTCTGGCTGCCAACACAGAGTTCTGGGTTCGATTCCCAGATAGCACGAAAATATTTGTTTCTTTTTTCGATTACTGTACAGGTACCAATTCGTGCAACCTTCTATCTCTCTCCCTCCCTAATATTTCTTTTAAAAAAACCAACTGTGAATTTTTACAATAGTTGAATTGTAAAGTTCACAAACACATATTGTATAGTTTGCTCTATAGTATTCGACTTTTTAAAACTCTTACTAGTCTTATTTGTTGGATAAAATTTACAATAGTAGATCGTAAAAATTACTAAATGAGAAGTATAGTCCATCGTTACTATTTTCTTTAGTAAAAATTACAATAGTAAAATAGTAAAAACTCCTTCAATTTTCTTCCCGTGTAGGATTGCCTGGTAAAATTCAGTATTTCTTACCCTCATCTAATACCTTGATTTGTCTTTATACTCTTGATATTAGAAATAATTAATACGTTATTTTCCTTCATTGTTTCAATTTTTCTAAAAACTTGAACGATCATTTTTGTAAAATATAATAGAAACTACGATTTCTAATGAAACTTAATGTTAGATGAAAAAATTTGTAAAGTCAATAACTTTTTACTTAGTTCTTCGTAGCACTTCAAAAATAATATCATTATTTTACCGTAATCAAATAATGAAGCAAATTTCGTTAATTTTGACTACAGGGAGTACTATCCTAAAAACTGATATTTTATTTTAATTTAATATACGCCAATGTAAAAGTTAATCATATAGCTTTTAGAGGAAAAAAATTCTTTTCGCTGTGTTTACTTAATATTAAATGTTTGAGTTTGGACAAGTAAAACGGGCCATGAATCATGCACTCGTATAAACACATTTTATCATCAAGAACTATTTCTTTCTTGCAAACTCAGTTATTTTAAACTCAGTCATGTTTTCCATCTTTGCTTCTGAAACAAAAAATTACTTTTCGTTAGTGAAGGACACGCATAGCCTGGTCAACCAACCATTTTCTCATTCTGAAAGGATATTCAAAAATTAATGATCCCACTTGTATTTCAATGTAAAAAAAAATCATTTAGTGTCAGTTTCACTAATGTGACCGAAATACATTGAAACGATAAAAAAAGTATTTCACCTACTGAGGTTAGTATACGTCGTCTGTAATCGTGGGTACTGCGTATCCATTCTGATTTTGACCCGGTCATAATAACTGTATAGAAGAGATTGAGACCTTCCACTTAAGGTGTTAGCTCCCTTTTCTATATTGGCGATTTACAACATACTTCTTATAAGATTGGAGTAAAAATGTAAACTCATGATGAGGATCTTTGGAGTAATATTGAGATGGTCGTCCATAACTATGTTTAGTTATACAGTTATACTTTACTTCTTGCTAATTTCGATTGTTTGCTATTTCATACATAATATAATATCAAGAATCTTTATGTACAGTTATCTGTAAATTAATTTTTACGGGAATTCTAGAGTGAAAATAGTTTCAATATTGGAATAAAAATAATTTCAACACGTAATTTTATTGAAACGATACTCGACAATAAAATTGAAAGTTCAATTTTTCTTGAATGTAAATTAGGAATGACACTTTTGTTATATGAAAGAAGTTATTATTACTCTAATTAAATGGATCTAGAAATTGTAGCTTGAAAAAAAATAGCCTTAGATAGAATTAAAAAAAAAAAAAAAAAACAGATCTAATGTTCTCGAAGGTTGTTACCGTCAGCTTTTAATTTTTTAGAAATTATGTGAAAACTAAAAAAAAAAATTTTTTTGTTTGTCTTCTCAAAAATCTATTGGTTGCAATGAATTTTTATAAAAAAATATTATTGTGACATTAGTTGAGCGCTAACTTTATGTACTCACTCAAAAATTTCATTGTAGAACTTGCTTAAACAACTTAATTATTTACAAACAAATTTTTTTTAATTACCATTTACTAAATAAATGAATGTGGAAAGCATGGCTCAACTCTTTAGAAAAGATGTCATAGAACGTACGAAATTCTCAAAAGATTTTAATAAAAAATGCTAGTTTGAATTTAAATTTTTTCTTGAATTATCTAATCAATTATAATGACCATTAAATATGGAAATGATCTTGAAGAATAATATACAAAAATTTATTCCTATTCTGACTACTGGAAGTTATTTTTGATAATTTTTTAACGTAATCAGCCGTACGTGCTGAATTCAATGAAAAACTCAATAGATCTATCTATATCGGGAATTTATCTTTGTACCTTTATATCTGAGGTATCGTTTTGTTGAGCTTTACTAGACGTGTGTAAGTAATACAAATAAAAGAATAATAAATAATGTTACAAACTTAAGTTACGGGAGTCACCGACAAATCTTTATTTTTATTGTGATCATTGACTATACACTAAACAGCTGCTTTTAGTAGCACATGTATATTTTCATTAATCTTTTCAAACATAGATCTAACTTTCATCGTGTATTGTAATAATTTTACTTTCAATTCTATTAAGAAACAACTACTTAGTAGATATCGTTATTTGTAAGTCTATACAGAGCGGAAGGGTCATTTGAACTAAGAAAATATTGCGTAAGATTGAAATTATTTTGAATGAAATAAAAAAATTCTGTTCGACTACTCATTTGTTTAAAAAAAATTTTTTTTCTTATTACTTCCAAATTCTTAAGCTTGAAGTGTTTAAAATGTATCTGGGTTACATTTTCAAGTTTGAAAATTTGAAAAAAAAAACTTTACAATCCATAGCTTTAAGCTCAAAGAGCTTAAATATCTCCCTAATTAATAGGAGGGGTGGGAGGTAAAAAAAAAAAATTATAGTGA